TGTTGACAGATTTTTCTGGTGTCTCATAAAATATCTTAATGGCCACTATCTGTCCAGTATCCTTATGTTTACATTTCATGACTGTTCCGTAACTTCCCTCTCCCACTTTTCCAAGGGTTTCATACATCTCCATTTTTCAAACTGGGTTTCCACTTCTTCATAGAAATAAGGAAAGAAAATGAAAATTGTTAAACGTTTATACTTTCATTGATTCAAGCTGGATAATGCATACCCTCCATAAACCCATACTTTCAACATTAAAAAACAGAAACAATGGGAATCTTTCCCACAGAGCCTTTTTATCTTCGGAAACTGCCAGCTTGGCAGGGGGGTGTCCTTGCGAGGCTCCAACCCTCCAGAGAACTCAGGGATACTCCTGCCGTCTCGGTCACTCCCATCAACACCGAGAGTCCCTCACTACGCGCCACCACCCAGTCAGCGAGGCGCCCACACGCCCCGTCGTGCTCCCTGCGAGTAAGAGGTGCCGGCACTACTGCGCTACCCCACTTCGCAGGCCCAGCGTCCCGCCCGCTGCTCAAACCGGACGTCCTAGGATCCCGGACCGGCGTCGCGCCCTCGCCCAGCTGTCGACGCCTCAGCCCATTCTGCAGTCCCAGTCAGGCAACGCGACACCGACGCTCCTTTGCCAGCTCACTCCCGGCCGCCCGCTACCATGGAAACGAGGGAGGAGGCGCCTGCGCTCAGGCCCCGGTGTGCAAGACCGGAACATCCGCAGGGTCCCGACCCGGAAGGGAAAGTGAAAGGAGGCGCCGACACGCTCTAGGTGGGTGCTGAATGGGAGTGCACGGGGATGGGGGAGGGGCGGACAGGTCGCCGTCGCACTTCGAGCCGCCTCGCTTTCTGAATGCGGGTCGGGGCGGGGGGCACCCACATTTTGGCTGCGGCCCGAGGGACAGCAAATCCGCTAGGGAAGGAAAACCGAGGCGGGGGCCTGTTCTTTTTGCCTCGCGGATGTTCCCAGGTTGGAGAACACCAGCCACTTGTACTGAGTCCTGTCATTAAACAGAGACAATTTGTAAAGCGAGACATCCAAGGAAGTCTCGTGCGATTACAATTTTCTAAATTACCTACCTACATTAATAGCCCTTAGACATGAGTTCGACCTCAGCAGTCGACATTCGTCCTTAAAATGGGGATGAGATGGTTCTCAAGAACTTTTCATAAACACCTGCTATATGCCTTTAAAATTTTTCCAACTCCTAGTAATCTTTTTTTAAAAGATCCTCACTACTTGTCAAAACTCTAAATCTCTCTCCTTAGGAAAGCACAGAATTCAAAGGATTTCTCCACATTCGGAGTGATGTACAAGGGAAAAGAAATAAAGAGGGGCCGATGTCTAATTGCATACGAAGATATAAGATTGCATATAAATGCAATAATAAGATTCGACTAGAGTGACAGCCTCTAATGAATAACAAGGCTATCGCGAAAGCAGGTGCCCTGGGAGTGCCGTTTTTATTGAAGCGTAATTTATTTGTCTGTAACATGAGTTAAACGTAAAAGACCAAATCTCGAAATGCTTCCCCTAAATAAGAGGAAGGGAATTATTACCCAACAAATTCTAGTCCAGCGGATCCCACCCCAGCATGCTTATTAAAATCACACCTGGGGAACTTTTAAATGGCCCCATCCCCCAGAGATCCTGTTTAATTGGGATAGGGTAAAGAAATTGGTATTTTAAGAGCTTCCCAAGTGTGTCTACTATGCTTCTAGGGGTTATATTCATAGGGTAGCATGAGAGGAAGGAGAGGTGGTCATGATTGTGGTTTACCAACCAAAATATTCAGAGTTGTCTTTCCTTTTGAAAAGTTATTCAACCACACTATAAAATACTATCTATAAGTAAGAATGTCATAGTAAATCTTACAGTGGGCCCAGACTGGCTGTAAGCATATTTATTAAATATTTGTTTTGAGTTAAATATTTGTAAGGGACAATGCACAAACCAGAGTCCCTGCCCTTAGTGAGCTCACAATCCAGAGCTACAGAATGCAATTAAAGAGCTTTAAAAGTATTCTTTCTACATATAGGTTATGGCAGGCCTGGTGACCACGATAGCCAGTGATTCTTGCTAGTACACGGCTTTAAGACTTTAGGAAGTACATTCACTGAATTAGTCAAAAGTATCTCATTCTGAAAAATCATAAACGGTCAGTTTCCACAAC